ACACCGCCACTGCCACCAACACCACTACTGCCACCAACACCGCCGCCACCACCACTGCTGCAACCGATGCCTTCCCGACTGTTGGTGCTGGCATTCGTGCTGTTGAAGCCCTGTATTCCGACGCTTGGGAAGGTGGGAACGCTACTCAGATTCCCGCTGCTGGTGAAGCCTGGAACACCCTTGGCTGCGGCTGTGGCTGCGATGGGGCCGTCGGCGTTGGCAGCGTTTTGCTGCGCCGAACTCGTCGGTACCGAATTCAAGCTCCCGGCGCTGGTCCAGCCGCTAGCGCCAGCGGCCGAGCTACCAGTCTTTTGGTTGTTAAGGCTTGCAGCAACGAAGTGGCTCTTATATTGGGACTACAGCAAACAAGGAAAGAAGAAAGACAGCGTGTTTGCCCCTGCGCCGCACCACAGAACAGTCACCGCGCACACCCAGCCCGTCCTGGAATTTGGGGAGCCCCTAAAGTCAGTCTTGGAGTGACTACATTCCTGTCATGCTTATGAACATGGAATTAGTAACAGCCACCTGCTACCAGGCCATAAAAACAAGGAATTGTGGGGTCAATTTTTACCCTCAAGCATTTTTATACTCAAGTTTCTCTGTTCCCCATTTCTTTTGATTGCAATTACACTACTGCTGCTGAGTGATCTAAATGCTCAAGGTTAGCAGCAGAATACAAAAGGAAAAAAAAACAGCAAATAGGCAGCAGAAAACAAAACAAGTTGGGCAAATTAACTTTGTGCAGATTTGCTGAGTCCAGCCTGCACACTAACCCTTCCACTTTGGACTGCAATACTGAGTGCTCCAAGCAGATGAGATACAGACACAACTGCCAAACTCAGCTTCCCTGAAGTCAACAGGGTTTCCACACATTCAGAGGAGAAAAAAAAAGTTGCCTTGAATCGTCAGTAATAGATATATTTACTGTTATTTCCTTTCCTCTTAAGTTAGATCTTGGGATACAAGCCATGAGACCCACCTGAAAAGCTGCTTTCATTGCTGTAAGTCTGTCTCCCATCGCCCCCGAGGACGGCTTGTAGGCCTCATAGTTACTCATCACACTGCTGTTGTTTCCACGGTCCTAAGCAGAAAGGAAAGGGAAACAGGAGAGATTTATCCAATGCAGACACTCTTTATCTGTAATAAACACTCAACGTGTTTATCACACATTGCATATACACATTATATGTTAATAAACACTCGATGTGTTTATTACGGATCACAAACTTCTGCGGAGCACTGTGCAGCAGGACAGCTGGCCCCAGGACCTCGAGGGTAGCAGGAAAGCAAAGGAGCACTAAGGCCTCGTGATGCACCAGTGCCACGTTTCCCAGCTCCCTACAGTGGCAGCAGAAGGCAAATGCAAGCGGGTGGTGAGGTTCACAGAGTTCAGAGCTAATCTTAAGTGTCAACAAGGCTTCATTTGTGACTTTTGAAGAGATGCCAAACACGATGTTCTTTCAACATGTCTACAGCTAAATTCTGCATCCTACATGTTGACCATGAGCTGTTTGTCTAGCATGGACAATATCTTAGTAACTGCTCTGAACGCTGCAGTGCTTTTTGGGGCCAAAAATCAGTCTGAGAAGAGCTTTTTGAGTAAATTATTGGCATGTGTATTATACAATTATGTGGATCAAGAACAGTTAGGACCCCAAAAATTTTGCACTGACAGCCTGTTTTGGGAAGAACCTCTCATCTCTTCTGGATCACTCTGGCTCTATATAAGGTAGCTCTGGGCAACAGGACAAAAATAAAGGACAAATAACTTTACTGGAGATATTTCCAGTACAAACTTAAAAAGATTCTGTGCTATTAAAACCTTTAAAAGCAGAGGCTACACTTCAGTGCTAAGAAGAATTTTCAAATTGAAAAAGTCAATTCCAAGTTTAAACAGTTCCAAGCAAAAAACTTCAACATTTCTACTTACAGAACTTTCTGATCCCAGACCGGGACGTTCACGGTATCCTAAGCCACCACCCCCAATATTCAGCTTCTTGCCTTTTCCTCCTTTGAAACGGGATTTCCGGAACCACGGGTTCTATATAAAAGAAAAGAAAATGCTTCTCAACTATCACCATCTCAACTATGCTTCATCTATCAAGATGATAAAAACAAACAAACAAACAAAAACCCACAAACTTGATTAATGCAAGAGGCT